CCTTACAAGCAAGCACACGAACGCACCCTTACAAGCAAGCACACGAACGCACCCTTACAAGCAAGCACACGGACGCACCCTTATAAGCAAGCACACGAACGCACCCTTATAAGCAAGCACACGAACGCACCCTTATAAGCAAGCACACGAACGCACCCTTATAAGCAAGCACACGAACGCACCCTTATAAGCAAGCACACGAACGCACCCTTATAAGCAAGCACACGAACGCACCCTTATAAGCAAGCACACGGACGCACCCTTATAAGCAAGCACACGAACGCACCCTTATATGCAAGCACACAGACGCACCCTTATAAGCAAGCACACGAACGCACCCTTATAAGCAAGCACACGGACGCACCCTTATAAGCAAGCACACGAACGCACCCTTATAAGCAAGCACACGGACGCACCCTTATAAGCAAGCACACGAACGCACCCTTATAAGCAAGCACATGATCTCCTGGTAAGCGACCCGCCTTCCGATGCACATTCTGGGGCCGAAGGAGAAGGGCAGGAAGGCGTAGGGGTGGGAGGGCGCCAGGGGAGACCCCCTCAGGAACCTCTCCGGCAGGAATTCCTTCGCCCGCGGGAACACGGACTCCTGGTGGTTGATGAGCATCGCAGGGGCCACGACCTGCCACTGAGGGGAGGGGAGAGGGGGAGGGAGGCGAGAGGGGAGAGGGGGGAGGGGTAGGGAGGGAAGGGAGAGGGGGGAGGGGAAAGGGAGGAAGCGGAGGGGAGGGAGGAGAGAGGGGAGAGGGGGGAGGGGTAGGGAGGGAAGGGAGGCGAGAGGGGAGAGGGGGAGAGGGGTAGGGAGGGGGGTAGGGAGGGAAGGGAGAGGGGGGAGGGGAAAGGGAGGAAGCGGAGGGGAGGAGAGACGGGAGGAGAGGGGGAAGAGAGGAAGGAGAGGAGAGGGAGGAAGGGAGGTTGGGAAGAAGAGGAGAGAGAGGAGAGGAGAGAGGAGAGAGACAGTGAGGCAAGAAAGGGAAGGGAGGGGAGAGGTGAGGAGAGGGGTGGAAAGGGAAAGGAGAAGAGTGGGGAGAGAGGCAGGGAGGCAAGTGAGGCAAAATGAGAGATCATCTGTCTGTCACTTTCATGATTATCTCATACTTCATCATCATAACAATACCACTTACCCCTTTAGGTACCAGGTAACCGCCCAGCACAGTGTCCTGGTTCAGTCTCCTGGTGATGCCTACGCCAACGGGCATCACTCTGTTGAAATACCAAGCGATAAGGGAAGGGTAGGAAAGGTAAAGGAATGGTTTGTGTGTGTGTGTGTGTGTGTGCGTGCGTGCGTGTGTGTGTGTGTGTGTGCGTGCGTGCGTGCGTGCGTGCGTGCGTCCGTGCGTGTGTGTGTGTGTGTGTGTTACAAATGTGCCACAAAAAGAAGTGAGAGAGTGAGAGATAGATAGATAGATAGATAGATAGATAGAGAGAGAGAGAGAGAGAGAGAGAGAGAGAGAGAGAGAGAGAGAGAGAGAGAGAGAGAGAGAGAAAGCGAGAGCGAGAGAGAAACAACAACAACAAAAAACGCCAACCTCAGTGTCTCTCTGAAAACGGCTTTGGCGTAGGTAAGGCTAGCAATGTGTTCGGGCAAAAGGTGTTCGGGTTTGCCGACTTTGGCCTCGACTTCGCTAATGAGACGAGACTGCGCTTCGGGATTTTTCGCCAAAAGGTACAGCATGTGGGATACAGCGTGGGATGTCTGTGGATTTAAAAAAATGTATCATTATCTGTAATAATGGTTGTCGGGAGATATATAAAAAGGGAATAAAAGGGTAAAAAAAAGTTGATAAGAAAAAATAACTTTGGTGAGATTATATTAACAATGGATGTAGGTAGATATAAAAAAGAGGAGAAAGAGAGAATGATTAAGAGCAAATAATCTTAACAATAAATAAAAACAATAATAAGAGTTGATAAGAGAAAATAATTTTGACGCGGTGATATTAACACAGACAGTAAAATGCGGGAATGTTTATATGGCGTACATGGATGCGCAGTGAAAATTTACATACAAGCACAAATATAATAACCACACATACACAAGGACACACGAACATACACACACGCACACACACACATATTAGAAAATGAAATAATAATTTAAAAAATAGACAAAAATAATATATTAAACGAAAAATAATAACAAAATAAAATGAGACACAAAAAAACTGAAAAAAACACTCACAACATACAACCTGCAACCGCTCCCCCCCTTCCTCATACAATCTTCCATATATTAAAAAAAACAAAAGACGAAAGCAGACGAAAACAAAAACAAAAGACAAAAACAGACAAAAAACAAAAAAACGAAAGATAAAAAAAAACAGACAAAAAAAAAAAAAAAGCAAAAGCAAGCACAAACGCACTCACCGTATCGATCCCCGTGGCGAGCAAATCGATAAGGAACGCGAGGACGTCCCCCCTCGTCAGGCCGGGCGAGGCCAGCAGCGTCTCCAGCAAACTCGGCCTGCGCGGGGCGGCTCCT